CCTGGGGGTCGAATCTTTGAGATACATTTGATACGTGTTAAATATTATTGGACCACCTTGAGGATTACTTTCATCAGGTAATTTGTTGTATTTTGAAGATAATTCTATCGCTATGTAATCAATAGCTGGTTGAAAGTAATTTTGTTCCGCATCAATTAATAATTTCACATTATATTGACGTGCTGCCTTGCATAATTGTTCAAGCCTAGCTAATAATTGATTAAATCCTTTAATCATATTTTGATCAAAGAAGTTTAAATTTTTATTGTTGTTAATAAGTTGAAGAATATTTTGATAATCCAATAAAATTTTAAAGTAGTTTAATCGATCGATTAATCCATCATCATTAGAGTCGGCTTTATTGAAAAATTCATCAATTTTATGTGTTTCACTTTCACCAAAAACATTAATAAAAAGATTCCTGAATTCAAGTTTATCTAATATTCCATCTTGATTAATATCAAATTGATCGAAGGCTTTGTTTAGAGAATTCAAAATTAAAGTTAAATTTTTTAAAATTACGGGGTCCGAGAGACCAGAAATTTTAATAGCGGCAAAATTATTAGGTTGCTTTGATGTAGTTTGAATACAACTTAAATATTCATTAGTAATTTGATTAAATTTTTTATCGTTTTCAGTATATGAAGAACCATCTTGACTTAAATCAGTTTCAATAGACGGACCAAGAATTGTTCCAATTTTTTGCTTTTTTAATTTGGATATGGTATCAACACATTCTTCATAAGTTTCACCTCTAAAAAATCAATATAATTTAATATAATTATAAATTATATTAAATTATCAAGTTTACAATAATAAAATCTTGTTTTTTTTTAGCTTACCCACAAAATTGAGCAAAAATTGTTTTTTTTATAATCCAATAAGTGAGCCATGAAAGGTGAGATTTTTCGGATATATTAATCAAATTTGACGCATAGTTTACTACCCATTGAATAGAAAGTAATTTATAAACAGTATAAGAACGGATCAATTCGCTCATAGTTTTATCTTGAAAAGCGATACGACTATCTAAATAATAAAATATTATTAATTAGATCCACAGTGGAAATATAAAATAGAACTTGTTACCTTCTTTAAATGATATAATCTTAGGAATAGAGTGTTCTTTTGAGAGAGATATAAATTTATTTGATTTTATATGATTGATAGTTAAAAAGCGTAACTGAGGTCTTTGAACAAAATAACTTCTTTCAACAATAGTTTCCAATAGAATTTTTGATTGAACGATTACATTCAAACTCAAAAATTTTCTTGAATCAAAATTTTTTTTAAACAAAGTTCGACCAAGCATTATTATTATTATTATAAAGATTAAAGCGATTGTAAAGTTTTGCTTTTAAGAAAATTTTAATTTTACAATACATAAAGGAGCCAAAAATGTAAGGGGTACTGCATATCACGTGCAAAAGCTCAGCCATTCAATTTCATTAAGGTCTTTGAGAATACGTAAACTTAGAACGGAGTGCACATTTCACGAAGAATTTATTCGTAGCGGTTTGAATATTAGTTTGGATTTAATTGTATCTATATTAGAATCGTATCACGAAGAAAGATGAAAATTTCATTTCTGGGAATTACGAGGAAACTTTGGCTGTCGATCTTATCACGAAACTGGACCAAACCAACTCGAAATGCAGAAAATCAACACACTGCATAAACGCAAAAAGTAAAAAGATTACCATGTTACACAGTACGTATAAATAAAAAAAGTACAACCCCAAACAAATAAGAAAAAAATGATTCGACAAAACGATGTACGTATCTTTAAGAATGTTGTTAAATAGCTACATCGCAGGTTTAATATGACCGACCAATTAGGTCGAACAAAAAATTAAGAAAAAAAATTAAAATTTTATTATGTAAACTAGTCTTGGGCTTCTAATTAAAAGTTTTCAGCTTTTAATTTTGCATATATGTATGCCCTCTAACCCTAACCCAAATACTAGCTCGAACCCTTTAAATATTAACTTGCGATATCACAACCTGTTATATGGAACGAAAATCTATAATTAACTATACATCTTTAATTAACTATATCTGATATATCTTTAATTAATTAAATAAAAATTATTGTGTTCGAAATTTTTTTGATAAAGTACTCGAATTTTGAATATGTAGTTATTATTTGTGAAAAATAAAACTTAAAGGGTTAAATGTATTGGTTTTTAATATCTAGTGTAAGTTAATGAATTTACAGAATCAATAGCTAAATGATGTGTTTATACATATGGGCTAGGTGCTGGAGAAAGGGACCAAATTGACAATTTTTTCAAAATGAATTTTTTAAGCTTAATTAATTTAAAATTAGCTCAGGAACATTTTTCACTTAAGAAAGAAATACTGGTGCATTAATAAAATTTTACAGTATAATCTTTTGAAATTTGTATTTTCCTATAAGTTAATATGGATTTTATAATATAAAAATCAATTTTTCGCAAAATCTATTTTTTGTCAATTTGGTCCCTTTCTCCAGCACCTAGCCCATATATTTGTTGGCTTTATATTGGGGATTAGAATGAGATATGTTGATTCGAGAGAATATACCGTAATTAATTATTTTAAGGGAAATAACAGTGACTTCGATCACCCTATAAAAAAAAATTTAAAATTATATTCTGACTTTGTTCAAAATTATTTTTTTTACAAAATGAGCATTTTTCTTAACAAAATTTTCTGAATATTTTCAAATTTCTGAATATTTCTAATTTCCTGATTATAATTTTTTGTTTGATAAAAATTATAATCAGAAAATTAACAAGGTTTCAGAAATATTCAAAATTTTAAAACTATTCAGAAAACTTTAAAGGGTTATATAAGAAAAATGCCTATTTTTAAAAAATAATTTGAACAAATTTTGAATATGATTTTAAAATTTTTTAATAGGGTTGAGAAGGTCAAAGTCATTGTTTTTTTTTTTGCCCTTTCTCACGATTCTACAAATTTCAAATAAAGAATTCTATCGTTAATAAACACGGTGTTTCATAAATAACATAAAGGAACCATCATTAATATCCGACCAATAACATTAAATGGACTACCAAATCATACTCGTTAACTTTTGAACTAAATTTTGCACAGTTTCCCAATTAAATTCCGGGTCAAAATGTGTGTTTCAATTTGATTTGATAGATTCTTTTGAGTATTATAATTCAGTGATATATTGTATTATGTAATAGATCAAGGACTGTGTGGACTCAATTTAAACTTTAATATTGTCATTATAATTTTGTAGAATTAAAAATAGATAAAAAAAAAAAAAATGGTCACGATAAAATCGTGAAACTGCCCCTACTTCTTTCTTGTGGCTTTTCGGAATACTATATTTTAACATTACTTAATTATAGAATAACACCTTTACTGTGGATCGATATATCTAAAATACGCAGTAAATTTTAAGAGTTTACATATATTTGGATTTAGTTAACATAATTTTTAGGAACATTTTATCAAACTGCGTTTTTGATGTATCACCTTATAATAAAGATAAAGAAATCAAGAAAATAATTTTTGTAAAAGTTATTTTGTGCACACAGATGATTATACGTACGTACCCGTGACTTATTGCTACTTATAACCATCATGTTATACATTCTATATTTGGAAAATATCTCCAGTCATTGTTAACATTTTAGACATTAAACTAATAATATTACTGTTTTTTTGGCGCCAAAATTTCATGCACATGAGATTTACAGTGTCATATAAATGTGATATATTTACCTTGAACGAAATTAAGACTTTTAGGTCTTCAATGACATCTATAGTTAATAATCTCAAAACTCATGAGAATGATTATCCTAACCATTTAGATATATCATTAAACTTTATATATTGCTTTCCTGTCCTGTGATGTACGTAGCATTTATACATCGATCAAATCTTTCACATCATGCGCATTAATTAATTGTTGTAAGGTTTGTAAATAATTGATCATAAGGACGAAAATCCTTGTCATAATTTCTAGAAATTTTATGTATGCGTTTTTTTCTGCGCAATAATTTATTTGTAATTGTAAAATAAATTAGATATCTTTACAGTAATAAACTCTTTAAATATATTATAAATTTATAAATACGCGTATATAATTCTATATATTAAGCTTACTTATCCATAGGCTATGACTCATCCTAGCATTATATAGGAACAATTAGCTATAAAAAGAGTTATAGAACTCCCTAAAGAAATCAAAATTTCAACCAACAAACTCTCGATCAAACATTAATATCTATTCACATATCCAATAACCCCCCAAAAAAAAAATTAGTTATCATAAAAAATTTTAAATCCAAAAACAATGTCCACTATTAAAATCGCAACATTGAACACTAATAGAATTAACAATGAACAAAAATGTTGGGAAATTTTAAAAGCACTCAAAACTTATAATTTGGACGTAATCCTTTTACAAAAAACAAATTTAAACAAGAATTCTATTGATTACCTTAAGCAGCAATGGAGATACGATTCATTCTGGTCATCAAGTTTTGCAATTTTAGCCGGAAATCAAAAGATTGAATTCGAGAATACAAAAGAATTTGATAATGGAATTACTACAAACTTCACCTACAATGATAATACTTACCAAGTAACTAATGTATGCATCCCTTTTAATTTCGGTAATAAAGACCTCCCATCCAAAAATGAAAATATGATTAATATCATAGCTGGCGATTTAAATTGCTTAGATGAAACAAAAAGAAAGAATCTAAAGTCAGGTTTTATAAACGTTGTAGATATTTTAGGAGAAAATCCATTTATTGATCCTCAATATCATATACAAAATAATCTGGATTATTTCTTCATTGACAATAATTATTTTCACAATTGTCAAAAGATTAAAACTTATTTTCACCGTTTCGATAATCCTCTAGTAGTATGTACTTTAGACTTTGCCAGATGGAGATTGAAAAATGAATTACTTGATAACAATCAAATTCAAAAAGAAATTAATGATGTATTAACGAATGTGTGTACAATTTCTGAATGGAATCGTCTTAAGTTACATATCAAATTCATATTTCGTTCATATCCTAAACCATTTAAATTTCTAAAAAAAAATTCAGTGACAATTGATTCAAAATTATCAATTCTCAATACTGACTTGGATCAATTAGAATCTGATGTATTAAATGAGCTAATTGAAACTGGGTATGTAAAATTAAAAGCAAAACCAACATCAATAATACAAATTCCATCTGAATCCAACCAAAACCCCACGAAAATACTAATTTACATAAAAAAGTATTACGAAGATTTATTTAAAGAAGAACCCATTGATTCTTGTACTGCGAAAAAAATTACTTCAAACTTACCTATAGTTACCTGTGACCAAAATATATCATTAATAAAGGAAATTTCATTAGAAGAAATTTCAGATATAATTAATAATCTAGAAAATGAGAAATCCCCAGGAATAGATGGGTTAACTTTCGAATTTTATAAAAAATTTGAAGAAAAAATTACACCTATTTTAAAAATAATTTTTAATCAAATTTTGAGTACGGGAGAGTTCCCAGATTTATGGTGTCAATGTATAATAATTTTGGTTCCAAAAAAACCTGATGATTTAAATGATATTAATAACTGGAGACCAATATCTCTAGTTAATGCTGATTTTAAAATTTTCACAAAAATTATTAATAATAGATTAAATAAAATATGCGAAGACAAAATAGGAAGTTATCAACACAGTTTTATTTCTGGTAGATATAGTAATGATGCTGCTTTCAACGTTATTTCTACTATGAGAAATCAACATGATCAAACAAAACTAGCTTGGTTACTCTTTATTGATCAAACAAAAGCATTTGATCGTGTAAATCATAAATTCCTCTTCTTAATACTTGAGAAAATGCGTTTTCATAAAGATTTTATAAAATTAATCAAAAGTTTACTTTCTAAACAAATTGCACACATTGCTGATGGGGGTAAACTTTCAACTCCTTTTAAAACAGAAAGAGGGTTCAAACAGGGGGATCCAATCTCTCCTTTACTATATATTTTGGCGTTGGAACCATTTTTAAGACTATTAAATCAAGAACTAACTGGGATAAATAT